CACATGGTTCATAGCTTTTGACTAGGCTTGTGGCTTAGCTTTCCTCGCCTTCCGAACTGTTGTTATGAAGTGTGAGGAATGGTCTCTTGTCTGTTCACAAGAATGCCCCCTGTTGGCGGTTACGGTTACACGTACTTTCAAACGCCTTATCGCCACAGCCAACAGTTTGAGTGAGAGGTGGATGTCCAACGCTAATTTAGATGTAATTTTTATCGAGTTGCACGTAATATATCATCGGTAAAATTAGGCAAGCAAATGTTGAATTTCACGTATTTTGGACTGTCATACTCCTCCTATATTATCTTACTCCTGGTAGTATCCTATAGATATATGCTCTGAGCGTGAACGCAGTGGCGGGAGGGCGCACTTGATTTGGTTGCCAGTGAGTTTACCAGAAGAATACCCGGCTACAGTACACGCCAGTTGAGCACTGTCGCTCTGCGGCACTTGTTTCTATAGTTGCACATTTTGTTTAGGTACATTTTACGGTGAAGGTTACAGAAATCATAGAAAGCGTGGGTTTTTAATTTAAATTTTTAACACTCACAAGTGTGCGCACACACAAAAGCTGCTTAATTCATGCCTTTATAGTGTGCATAGCTGGATGTAATAGTTACGTGCATATATCCATAGCATAAGACTATTTTTAACAAATAGCCAGAGTGCTATGGTTTAGCAAAGTTGTGAGTTTCAACAAAGGTTTCACCAACCCTTATTTATTAGTTATCATCCACAAAATGTACAAATTTAGATGAGAAGCTTATACTGCTTTGGCACCTTTAACTAAAAATTGCGTTTATGGTAACAGACTGGTTCGGTTGAAGTCATCAAGGTTTTGCCAAGATTCTTCCATGTCTCCTGTAAAACGTTAAATTTTAACTCACAAGTCTGTAGTTCACTCCCCATCCACATTATCCACAACCTACCTACATTACACTGCTGTCACACCCTACATAATTTAATTAAAATTACAGTTATGCGATCTAACCTACCATCATTTTCTTGTATTTATTTAGTTCGACAACATCCAACCTCGAATTTTGACAAGCGTGTCCTGGTAGCAGTTAAAAAATATGACAACATTGCCGCAGTGCCCGACATTATTCCGTAAGTAACACAGAAAATAGGTTTCATTAGCACTTGTGTCTCTCACTTTCCCGTCTCTCTCTTTCCTTCCATACCACAGTGCGACCATGGCTCTCCCTCGCTCGTCTTGATCTGTCCCTATCACTTTTCCTCTTCCTGTCTTTCTAAGGTTACTTTTCATAAGTTCTTTTAAGACCTTATGATACAGATGAGACAGATGTAACCACACTGCATATATTTTTGCAGGGCTACTGTCATGATAAGTGCCAGGGACAGGTTCCGTGTCAAGATGATGTGGTACATCATAGCTGCCACTCTTGTAGCTTCGTTGGGTTAGTATCAACATGAATGCGGCTTACCCACATTGGGTACATCAGGGTTTGACCTGGATAACAAAATTGTTAGCAATTCAGCTATTTGGTCTGAAAACGTTTAGCCAAATTCTACCAACTATGTTAATGTACTACCACCAACAACTAGCAACTATGTAATGTAGTCGTGTGTGTAGCGTAAGCCACTTTGATAATCTTCGGTCATTTCTGGATAAGTTTCGGTACTGAGTAAACAATGAACACACGCAGTGTACCTCATGCTTCGGGTTCGCAAGTAGCGATCTCGTGTAGAATTCGAGCGGCCTACGAATTGGCTTGTAGTGGTCGCTAGTGGGTAGAATTTGAGTTCAGCCTGAGGGCCTAATTAGCTTTAGCGTTTTGGCGAATTTATGTTGACATTATTTTGCGAAATTCAACTTAAATTCGCATTTCGCGAATTAGCAAACGAAAGCTTAAACCCTGGTTCATGGCAAAGTATAGTGTGCTCCCCCATAACATACCTCCTGTCAGAGCAGAGACAACAGCATCTATATAGCATGCAAGAACAGATACTAGGTGAGGCACAGAATAGCATCTGACTCTGAGTGAGTTACAGATCTTAGTGTGTATCCTGTCAGTACAGGAATAGGGTGAGGAACAGAGCGTAGCATGGTAACTACGAGACTATAGACAAGGTGGGTGATAGAGAAAAGACGCACCAATTCTCAGAGTAGAGACAGGGTGAGTGATCGAGAAACAGCATGCTGGCCGAAATGGTCCGTGGTCGAGCATGGTGTGCTTTCTTATGGAGCAGAGACTAGGTAAGTGATTGAGCACGGCATGCTACCTCTCATTATGTTATGCATCTTTGATATGAGATTGTGTCTGTGTTGCAGGGATGGTGATCAGTGGTAAGAGAGCAGCCGGACGCGGGGAGTCTGTAGAGAAGGGCAACCTTGATTGGCACAAAAAACATAATGAAAAGTGAAGCATCAAAATGCAACTATCCCATGAATGTGTGATGTGACTAGAATCCCACGTGCTTTATAATGTAGAAACAGGTCGGCAAGTTGATTGAGAGACACACTGGTATAGCAAGATATAATATGAGCGAGTTAGAGATGGAAAATGTCAGCGAGACAAGCAATGGAGGTACAAAGTAACAAAAGAGGCCAACGCGCACAATTGTTTTGTAGGACCACGTTGACACATGTGCGAAGAATCTGTCATCTGCTATATGTAGAGTTTGTATACTGTATAAAATAATATTAAATTCACACTCACAAACCTGCCAGTTTCTAAATGGAAATAATTTGGATGTAGCTAAATATGATCGGCTTTACAAATTTGTCAACTTTTTTGATTTTACAATTTTTCTCAAGTGTACCAATGCTCAACAAGCAATGGAGAAATGTATAAATATCTTCAAACGTTTATTTATGTGCTCAGTATATGGCCATTGTTGTCTGTGTATACTTCCTTCATAAATATTTGTTGGTTACAATCTGAGTTCTAAAGAGACTATCTTGTTGTGTATGAGAACATCAGCTATAGGCTGCAGGGGCATGACGTTAATTACATTTGTGGTGATTGTTGTTTTATTAAGTTGCTATTATGTGTTCTTATGATCTTGTGTTATTGTGATGTCACTGCTACTGCTACTGCTACTGCTACTGCTACTGCTATTGCTACTGCTACTGCTACTGCTACTGGTACTGTTACCACTGCTGCTTGGGTTGATACTAAGACATTTCAGCTGTTGCTGCTGCTGTTGGTGTTACGCAAATGACTGCTGCTGTTGCTGGTCCATATTATATCATTAGCTAATGTTGCTACTACTGGTTCTGTGGTAGCTGCTACTGCTGCTGCTGTTTCTGTTCAGCTCAGCTGGTACTTGCACTATCTGCTGCTGATGTTGTTACTACTGGCGCTGAGAGGGTCTATTTCCCCCAGGGTAGTGCCGGAACGTACCCTGGTACTATCTAATATGCCGGACCGTACCTCGCTTACTCCACTAACGAGTCTAGGGAGTCGCCTACGCCTACTCCCTAACCCTAACCCTAACCATATCAGATAGTTACCAGGGTACGTTCCGGTATACCGGACCGTACACAGGGTACGTTCCGGCAGTACCCTGGGGGAGATAGGCCCTATGAGCACTACTGGCAGTAGTTGACGGTTGTATACCTTTGTTTAAATAAAACTACCAGTATTATTACATATGTTTAACTAAATTTATCAAACAAATATCGGCCAGTGATGTGAAATGTCTTCAGGCATTTCTTTAAACAATTATTCATTCATCAACTCCATGTATTTGACTGTCTATCACCGTATCATAAAATATACTATATATATAAATAGCATGTAACATATATAACAGCACGTGTAGCTATATTAGTAACTGGGCCTGTTTTTGTATTACTAGTGAGAATTTCAATTGTGACTTCATGAGTAATAGCACGTTTTTGTTACAGTACTAACGTTATTGAGACGAATCCCTCCACATGGACTCTCACAACGTTCCTGCGTCCATACCTCTACTAAACATTGCGTAGGTATTTACCTAATCAAACTTGAGACAAACTTGATGATGATGATGGTGAATTCTCGCACGGCACCGTGGTATACTAAGCCACAACTAGCCAAGAGACAGGCATGATGTAATCTTGTCTACTGACAGAGAGGGAATGCCCACATGCTACGTCATATAACCAAATAGGGTAACCAAAGATCTAACGATAGCTATACTACTACCGAAACATATATGCCTGATCACGAGCTGTCACTATGGGTGAATGTCTACCCCTCGCTATACCTCTACAGACCACGTATCACTATAGTAGGGCCATTACCAGGACACAGATATGATCATGAAGTCTTACCACGTGTACCACCACCTATCCCCGCGTTATCTCGACACATATAACCAAGAGTGTATATAAGAAGCCTTCATCAACGTATACTTTTATTCTTGGAGTGTCTGGTTTACAGGGCCGTGGTTAACTTATTTTGCTGGTGGGCGGCACACGCAGTTTGTAATCTTGACAGTTGACCTTGTTTGCCGTTGGTTAGTGATCATGCATGCGTATCTACATTGTTACATTGTTACATTGTTACGTTGTTGTATTGTTACATTGGCCTAATTGTTACATTGTTACATTGGCTAATTATTACATTGGCCTAATTGTTACATTGGTCGCATCATCCCGCTACAATTATCAACCTATGCTAACTTGTACAAAGGGGAACGGCGCTCGCGTCTCTGGTGGCCGTTGCGAGCCAAGATAATTTTATTCGGCCGATCGAAATTTTAATCGAATTATTGAATTATCGAAAATTTAATATGCGCTCAAAATTGGCAGGGGCATGACTGAGGCAGACGTGCATGGTAAAATCCGATCTACAAATTTCACTTTGGCCGCAGCATCCCGCCACACTTCCCTTATATAGTAATTTGCATAGGGCATGGCGCTCGCGTCGCTGGTCGCCGTTGCGAGCCAAGATAATTGTCTTCGGCCGATCTCATGTGTTCAAAATTAGCAGGGGCGTGACCGAGGCTGATGTGCATGGTAAAATCCGATCTAAAAATATCACATTAACCGTAGCATCCCGTCACAGTTCTTCCCCTATGCTAATATCAGGGATGAGAATTGTCCGCCGATCGGCGGAATTCCGCCGATTTGACAGCCGCGTGAATTGTGCAAATCCGGTGGAAAAAAAGGAAAAAGAAAAAAGGGGGAAAACAAAACACTGATTCTATTTCTGATGACTATTTCTGTTTCAAATGGCTATTCCAATCAATCCAATATAATATCATTAATATTTGTTTTGACTTCAGCACCAACCAATTCTGCCCGTTTAATTTGTTAAACTGCTAGACAGGTAAACATTAGTGTACTGCCTGTTAACTTTTAACATGGTTTGAGTAAATTTTTATATCGCATGACAATTTTATATTTTAATTATTCATGCTTGAAAGAAATGTTATAATTGTTTTGTACCAGTTTAATGTATATTGTTAGCCATTATGTACAGTTGCTAGATTAGCAACAAAAGGTCATGGGGAAGGCCTCAAATCTGTTGTTAAAATATTATATTACAAGTATGGCTTTTGCAAATACCTAAATTGAGCTAGAATGTATCTCCACATGGCCTAAAGATGCCGTTACAGAGTCCATTTTTCTCAAAAAAATTCTGGGGGGATTCCCCTTGGGGGAGGGTGCACCCCTCCCGCACCCTCCCCACTTGGCCGCTTCGTACTTGTCATTCGTTATCTTTTCCTCTTTTTTCCTTTCTTGCTGTTCTTATCCCTGTAATATACTTGGGGAATGGCGCTCGCGTCGCTGGTCGCTGTTGCCAGCCAAGATATTATTTTCGGCCGATCTTATACGCGCTCAAACTGGGCAAGCGTATGCCCGCGAAAGATGTGCTTAGCAAAATCCGATCCAAGATTTTACTTGGGCCGCAAGATCCCGCCACACTTCCCTATACTAATGTACATTGGAAATGACACTCGCGTCGCTGATCAGTAACAAGTACGGGGTAAAAATGATTTAACCGCGGATATATTACGTGTAACAAGGCAATTATGATTAGCTAAGAAGGGTATAGTTTTACCGCGGTAACAATAACTATTTCTGCGTACGATACACGAACCTCGACATCATTTTCCTTGGTTGTATAACGATGAAGCGCTCACAAATGTTCTCGACGCGGGCTATTGTATACACACTGTTTCAGCTAGCTAGATATCACAAATTTTTGAATGGCAATTCGCAAGTGAATAAATTTCCTTCTGTATCCTCCCTCTTTTTTTTTAGTTAACTTTAACAAATTCATTTGTTCACACATGTTTAGTTCATTTTAATTCAGTGAGTACAATTATTTTCTTGCAGTCTAAAGGTGGGTGTCTAGTCACCCAACATACCATGCACCCTTTAAATTCGTACCTGAGCATTTCCATTATACTGAACTCATTCCCAGCACTGCTATTGGGGGAAAACAATTACTCGACCAACATGGCCATTTTCATGGAAAAGTGCCTCTAGATTCAGAATTATAAAATAACATCAGATTGTACATCACATTTTCCAAATAGACCCACATCCCTTATTATATATTTTAACTTACATTATCTCGCATCATAACATTATTAATGCACATTTCCCATAATATAATCATAGCACAGGCATAGGTATATAGTTATATAGTATCTGTATGATACAATTACACAGTTAATATTGTATATAATCTACTATTGTAATATATAATCTACTATTGTACATGGTCAGATCACGTCATGACATCAAATCTTTGTACATGTCATATAAAGCTGGGCGTGTGCTGTAGAATGTGTTAGAGCGTATGCTATCACGTAAGGGGTATCTGAGGGGTGATGAGGAGTCAGTACAATCCAAAGTCCATGACGTTCTCATTCTTCTGACAGTACAGAGTCTTTGCCAGCGGCGGAAACCTGAAGTTGGCGTTGCGAGCGTCCGGCGCTCCTGTTCCCGTTAGCAAAGCCTCACAGCGCCCCCTTGCAGCCTCCACCAACTGAAAGATGCTGTCTTCCTCTAGCTCTGTGCCCGCACCGACCGTAAGGAAGAGTCTTCGAAGTGCCACGCACCTGCAGAAAGACGAATTAGAAATTTCTATGCTGTGACGCCAACAACGAACGTACCCTACCCATATATGCATCATATAGATATACCACGCGACCAGTCACTTGCCCAGCCGACCTCATAGAGGAAGCCTTCGAATTTCGAACCGCACACTTACTTTGTCAGCAGAAGCAAAAGGCCTGCCTCGGTGACGTAACAGTTTCCTCTGATGTTTAGCTGCTGTAGATGTTTACAATGCGTGGCGATGTGACCGAGACCCACGTCCGTTACCAGGGAGCGCTGCGATGGTAGCACTGACAGCTCGAGGTGCTGCAGGATGGAGCATCGCTGCACCAGCGCCCTCACTCCGTCGTCATCCACCTCCACGCACCCGTGCATGAACAGGTGATCAAGACCAGGACTCCACTCGGCCATCTGCTGCAGAGCAGCGCCACCTATAGCTTCGCACATGCTCACGTCGAGTACACTGAGTCGACTTGGAGACTCTACGAGTATCTCACCAAACGACTTGACGTTTGTGCATCTGGCAACGTCCACCACCTCTAGTTGCCGACACTTGGTGAGAAGAGCTGTGATTCCGACGTCGGTGATACCGGGACACGATTGTGCGACTAGACAGGAAAAGCGTGGGCAGGTTTCAGCCACTGCCTGCAGGGTTACGTCCGTAACTCCTTCGCTGCCCATGACATGCAGTTTCTCAAGCAGGGGGCAGCAGCGTGCCAGCAACACCACACTTGTATCGCCCACGTGTTGGCAGTAGCATATTTCCAGGTAGCGTAACTGGCGACAGCCACGCGCGATAGCTGAAATGCCCGTGTCTGTCACGCTACTAGGCGTGACGAAGGAATCATTCACGACGAGACAGCGCAGAGATGCACAGTGGCGCCCCACAGCGGCTAGCCCGCGGTCGGTGATGCGCGCAGCCCCGGATATCGTTAGGTTCTGCAGCGAACGGCACCTAGTGGTGATCTCTGCGATAGCATGATCGCCGATGGTCGTCATAGCAACATTCAATGACAGCAAGCTGAGGCAGCCCTTCGAAAATGCAACCAGGCCGTCATCGGTGACGTTCATGGAGCCAACAAGCTGCAGCTTGGCCAGCAGGGGGCACTGCTGTGCAATCTGTTCGAGCGCATCATCCGTTAGACTTGGGCACTCGTCAATAACGAGCACGCGCAGTCGCGTGCAGTTTCCCAGAATTCCGCTGAGCCCCGTTATAAAGTCCTCTGGTGGGTCGTCCATCCCTAGGTAAGGGTTGACGAACTCTTCCAAGTAATTTAGCTTGGACAGATGTGCATAGATGCTAGACAGACACGGACACATGTAGACAGAAATCTGTCGCAGGTGTGGATACTTGTGCACAAGCGCACTGAGGCCCTCATCCGAGATTTGTGTATCTGCAAGCACAAGCAAGCGGTTAAAGGTCCGAATCTCTCATTTTTCTAATGGAAGCTCACGCACACATCATCGCACGCGTACGCGCGTGAACGCAGAAGGCACGAACGCATGCGCGGATGCACTGACGCACAGACACAAGCACACTCGTGCGCGCGCACGAAACTGAAAACACACACACCACGTTCGTACGTAAGCACACACACACACACACACGCACGCATTCACCAACACACGCGCGCACGTACGCACCTATTCAAGCACTCACGCAGCACCCACGCTCACCCGCACGCACATAACTGCACACGCACGCACGCACGCAGTACCCACGTTCGTTCGCTCGCTCACTCGCACGCACGTACACACACACACACACACACACACACACACACACACACACACACACACACACACACACACACACACGCGCGCGCGCGCACAAACAAACAAACGCACATAACAGACACGTACGCGTGCACCATCGCACGCATACACGCACACACACTCGCGCGCTAACAATAGCTGTCACGCATCTTGTGACCTCTCCTTCTGTAGCTGCAGAACCTTGTGTAACTTACTGTTTACATGTAATTTTCTTAGTTTAGTGCAAGTGATGCCGGCGTGCACGAAGCCAACGTCGGTAAGGGCACTGCAACGGCCCAGGTTAATCTCCTGTACCTGTAACAACACCGCCACGACAACAAGACTACAACAACTAGAGACATATACTGACTAGATATATTTTACCAATAATAATTTATTATTGTCTTTGTTGAAAGCATCTTTTTGGCTTTCCAATGTCCGCCTGGAACATACAGTGACCGCAGCCACATTTAATCAGTTGCCCTACTTCTTAATACTAGCTATTGTGGATCACATCTCGTCCGCGGCGATGAACTGTATACTCATCAGAAACTCACAAGTTTAGCCCATTTAGATAGCTACTTACACATTTCTTCACCATATCCCGCGGAAACAATACTTTGTCATTAACTCCCGTTCAGCAGGTATACTTACCTGGTCCTTGACGGTGTCCAGCAGCATCAACAACTCGGCGTCTGTAACCGCAGACTCGCTCACGTCTAACAGTCTCCACAGTGATCGATCATAGCTGAGCTCGTACCAATGTCGACAGGTTGGTCGCACCCCACAGCAGAGGTTCGCTGTGTCCAGGTAGCCGAAGATTTTCAGAACCAGTGAATCGGGAAGAATTTCGACAACAGCTTCATCGTCAGCAATGTCGGTTGTGTAATCGCAAAGCTCCCATTTGTTTTTGATAACATCCTTTTTGATGTTCATTTTTGTTTCATCGTCATGTAGTGCCCCCAAGTTTGGTGTGCTATCGTCAATCACCTTGGCGTTATCTTTGGGCCAACTCGTCATGTTTGTTTTAACACACAAGGAACTTCGTTACCACCTCGTTGATGTGTCACCTTAGATATTGTGGATGGACCACACTCGGAAATGATTTGAGAGTTCCTAAAAATATATTAGTAAATGTTCGTGTAATAAGGTCAAACATTCAGATAGATATTTGTATACCAAATCACTCATAAACGTGTTGCGATGGTTATTTTCTACGGTATAATGTTTTGGGCAAATGTTGAGCTCGCGCGAATTGGTATTCACTAACCATGTTCATTATTGTCGCTATATACGGCGCTGTAACATTTCCAAAAATAGTGACCATAGTAGACACATACACAGGCGAACGCACGCACGCACACACACACACACACACACACACACACACACAACACACACATAACACACACACACACACACCACACACACACACACACATACACACGTAGACATAGAGAGAGAGAGAGAGAGAGAGAGAGAGAGAGAGAAAGAAAGAGAAAGAGAGCGAGAGAAGAAAATGGAAGAGAGTTTACAAACGCCCACCACTGTATTGGCTAGGTTGTGCGAAAGCACGTATGTGCCTAATCCGGAACTCTACATCGACTGATAAAGACCTGCTCTAGTGTAGTACTTGCCTCTTTCTCGCTTCCTTCCTCTGCGTCGATTGCTGCAGAATATGTGTCTTGCTGTGCTACTCTATAGTCGCCGGGAATAGCCAAGTTTAATCGCTCATTTTGCCCGAGAAGCGCGCTGACATCAAAACACGACGTCGTGAGCCTGCCCTGTAACTGCTGTTATTTCATTGAAGGCGATGTGGTATAAATAGAGAGATTGAGCACGCGCGCTCGCCGTTGTAGCTGTAGATGGCAACCACGTATGCATGCTATGCTGTCGCAAGATACTCAAGTGGTACTTTCAAACGTCTATATAGAGGATGCGGGAAGTTGGCAAGCTGCGGTGGTACTGATGCTGTAGCACCAGCTCAGTCACGAGGCAACCAATCACGTGCTCACAGTCTTTGTGTTCTCGGGTTACAAGAGCAGTAATGCAAGCTATTCGCTCCGCACTCTTTATCCACAATTTATCCCCTTCTTTTATGTTGTTCACCTCTCGCTAACTTTTATCGTCTCCCTGTCTCCCATTTCTACTGTCGACCACTGTCTCGATAACTCTGATATTTGTTGAAGTCGGACATTAAGATAAGCATTCGGCATAGCAAACTACTCGTGAGAATATACTTTCTACTATAAATATATAATTGCAAAACAATCATGTAACTTTCCGCATATATACTGGACATGCGCGAGTACAGAGTATGGTAATTTTAGGAAAATGGACCTCGTGTACCTATAAACGAAATCTCCTTCACGTCATCCGCACCGCATCTGCCTCCACCACGTACACGTCTCCTCATCCAAGCGGCTGTCTCTTCCCCTCAGCGGTCATGGCCCTGAACGCGTATTCTTAAAACATTGTCGAAATGACTATAACGGTGCCTCGCTTTTGGCCGCTTCGTCAATAGGAACAGCGTTCCTAAAACAAGGGGGTTCCAACCTGCTTTGCGTTGAACGATTTACACCATTGAGATGGAGATTTTTTTCGGGAAGGGCATTTCTGCGGAGTTTTTTGACAGCAAGTTGCGTCCCTGTAAACGATCTTCACTGTTTACATGTCTGCACTTGTCTCCGCAGTTCAGCTCATGTTGATAGAATTGGGCGCATCGGTAAAAGCCGCATTTTTTACATTGAGCTGCATAATTTTGTTCGGATCTATAATGTAAGATAATTAGCTTTATCTATATCATACACTTTCTTTTAGCAAGATTCACCGAATTACACGGTCACATATCCACACTCACACACACACACACACACACACACACACACACACACACACACACACACACACACACACACACACACACACACACGCTCGCGCACGCACGCAAACAAGCACGCACATACACTTTCATTTACTTTCGCCCTTTTCTCCTCTTTTAAGCTAACCGCGCGGGCTCTCCCCCCCCCCCTGTTTGCATTCCATCCTTTTAAACCGTATCATACATTCTGATCTTTCAGGATTAGTAGATGCTGCTCCTAGACCGATTAGTCGCACCGCATGCGTGCAGAGTTATGACGTTATGACGTTATGACGTAGGACGGCCGTGTGCATGCTCCTCGCGGTCGGGCACGATTCTTGGGCGTATTAAGGTCGATTGAACGCATCAGGTGCGCTCTTCGGACAAGACACAACAAAATAGCGAAAATACTACTCTTTATGAGACTGTCCCACTTCTCTGCAAAGACGGAATGCCGGACCAAGAGCTGGCTGCCACGCTAACCTAAAAGTTCGAAATTCTAGTGTAATACTAACTAAAAATCGAAAGTGTGTGAAATGCATCGTAATGGGGTTTACGTGTATTGTTCAAACCACGAATACTCGGGCTGAAAGACGGGGAATGACAAGAACAAGAATTACATAGCTAAAGATAGAGGTAGAGATAAGGATACCGATAGAGATAGACAGAGAGATACCGATACGGATAGACAGAGAGATACCGATGCAGATAGAGTGGAGATAGTGATCGACAGCTAGAGACAAAGCGAGCGAAAGCGAGAGCAAGATAAAGTGACAAGGGATTAGGGGGAGAGAAACAGAACAAAAGTGACAGAGAGCGCGAGAGAGTGATACAGAGAGAAGGGGAGGGAGAGCGGGGGGAGGGGGTAAGAGAGAGAAAAAGAGGGAATAATTAGGCAGCAATGTGTAGACTAAGTAAATCATCTACATTATCCTCATTATGCCGATAGCTTGGCCGTGGATGCTTGTATCTCAAAGAATTACAGGCGCACGTAATAAATAACGTGTTGGGTGCTACCGCGGTCCCTAATTACGCGCTTCGCCGACAGATTAAATTTGCATCATCGAACGAAAGCAATGGGCCTTACGTCGGCTAGCCTGACCGGACGGATTCACCTACTTTCAGTTTCGTCGCTACACGGTTGCTAAAGCGAAATTAAGCTACGAAATGGTCCGCAGTTGACCTGGTTGCATGGGGCCAGTGCCGCACTGGTTTAGCACATTTTCGTGGCTGTCTTGTGTAAGCCTACTTACTCTTTCGTTTGTTAGAATAATCGATAAAAGAGAGCGAGCGCTGTTACTTTATTGAAACGCTCCAAGTGCCAGTTCACCCGTTGGCTGCTATTAACACCGTTCCCGGCCAAAAATGTGCCCGCTACCGATTACATAAATGGTTAAGCCTAGGACACACTATGCGATTTTCTACGCTGGCCGCTTGCGATCCGCCGATCGATAAATACGCTGCCGGGTCGAAAAACCGGGCGGAAATATTCAACATGTTGAATCCGAGCGATGCGCCGGGCGTATGGGATCGCGAGCGAAATACGGTGCCGTGAGACCGGGCACGTACACCGCGCGGACCCGGCACCGTATTTATCGATCGCAAGCGGCCAACGTAGAAAATCGCGCAGTGTATCCTAGGCTTTAGAGAGCCGAGTAGTACCTCTTTCCTGTGCCTTAGCTCTTTACATGCATTCTCCACCCGTGTGTAAACAGGTCGTGATAAATTCCATTGTGCGTCTATCTAAAAGTTTATACCAGAGTAAAATTGTGTAATTGATTTTTAACTGCTGTAACTTTGTTGTCACCCCTGTATAGAATTAATTAAGCAGTCGGGTTAAGTATAGTGTAAACGAAAACTGAGCGTAAACAAACTTTTTAATCTCACTCACTCACTCACTCACTCACTCACTCACCCACTCACTCACTCACTCTCTCTGTCTCTCTCTCTCTCTCTTCCCTTCTCTCTCTCCTCTCTCTCTCTCTCTCTCATCACTCACTCAACTCACTCTCTTTTCTCTCTCTCTCTCTTCTCTCTCTCTCCTCTCTCCTCTCTCTCTCTCTCTCTCTCTCTCTCTCTCTCTCTCTCTATACTTATATATTATATATATACTATAATATATATCCGAAGTAGATAATTAGGCGTAAGATTCATGGATAAGATCGGGCGGAATCTTATTTTTTTAGAGATTGGGATAAGCGATAATTAGGGGGGAGTAATAATAATAGAATAAGTGTATAATAAGTATTACATAATAAAGGCTAAAATAAGAATAATATAAATAACAAGAAGATTAGGATAAGATAAGGGGTACATTTCCTATTATTACTTCTTAATATATTATATATATCATATATCTATATATATTATATAACTATATATATATATATATTCGCGCGCTCTTCTTTCTCTTTCCTCTCTCGCCCGCTTTTCTTTCTTCTTAATATTTCATTTCATTCTCCTTTTTAGTACTC